CTGCCGCTGCGATTGGAACCGCTGCTCCGGCTCCCTGCGAAGCACACACGAGGCAAGGTTAGGCGACAGCTCAGGATGAGCCAGGAAGAAAGGAACCTCCTCTAGCCAAGAGAGGGCTGCAGCACACTGCAGCACAGCCATCTGCCCGCTGAGCCTGTGCTCTCCATCTCCTTTCAAGTCCCACAACCCTTCTAAGATGGCTTTTGTCCTGCCCCACAGATAGGGCCCTGCTTAAGCAGCCTTTTCCTGCTTCTTCCCTGCATCTGCCCACCAGCAGGCACATTTTAGCCTTTTTCACTCACCTTCACTGTGCTGGCTGCCTGCACTGCCCCCTCCGTAGCTGTAGCCTGGGTCAGGGAAGCCGGGGTGGGGGTTGTATGGATGAGGCGGTGGGTACTGATACGGGAAAGATACGGAAAAGCCATAGGCCAGGGTGCAGCTCCTGGGTGTGGAAGTGGAGCCAAAGTGTCCTGATCGGAGGCACCACTGGAGCCATCGTGATCGTGAAGAGAAAGATTAGCCATGTCTGCAAGAAAGCAGAGAAGAGGGGTTAATCCCAGCGGAAAGACCACCACGCGCAATGAAGAAGCTCCCTGTCCACCCTTGCTGATGGACAAGGACGGGGTACGCAAGGAGGTGCAAGAAGTTGGCACTCTCCCTGCCAGCGAATGTGACCATTTTGTGCTTCCTGGCTGGACAACAGCCAGGCTGTGTGAGTCCAAGTCTAACACAGAGACTGGCTTGGTGGGAAAGGACCACATCAGAGCTACAGCTCACCCCGCCAATTCCTTCCCCCATCCCTCTTATTTGGGCAGAACGCAGTTATCTGAGCACCACCCCCTTGCCAGCACTGGAAGCTCAGAGTCTGGAGACAAAAATCGGTAAAGACCAAGACTCTGCTGCGGCTGCCCAAGAGAAAAGATCACATAGTAGGTGACAGTGTCATCTTCCACCTTCACAGCCCTAGCAGCATGATGAGGGATTTGGGATATTCTTCCTCACTCTCTCACAGGGGCTGTAGAAGAAGGGGTCCAGGCAACGGGGGTGGCCACGTCCCCACAGGTCTCTGCAGGACCTCAACCCCCCTCCATCCTCTCCCTCCCACCCACGCCAAGTGCCATACTTCCACAGAGGTCCCCGAAGATGTAATAGCACTGCTCGGAGAAGGTGATCTTGTTGACGGTGTGCCGGATGTAGCCAGCCTTCAGCAGATTACTGGCGTATTTGCGGGATTCACGACGGTCTGTAAAGCCCTCCACATGGTGATAGAGCCAATCCACCACATCTGAACCTGCCAGCAAGCACCACAGTTAAATAGGGCAAAAGAAAGGAAGACAGTGGATCTTGAGGCAGTGAGCCACACTGGACCCAAGACAAAGCGGGCCAAAAGGTGAATAGGGACTGCACAGCCAAGGCTCAATTTGTGACTCTGGCCTGGTCAACCGTTTATGGTGACAGAGATGCTCGCTTGGGCATTTGCTTGGAAAACCAAGCCACCCATTGGCCACCCATTCCCCACTCCCTGCCCCTGCTGCAGGCAGCACGGTCTCTTACCAATGAAGGCATTGGGGATGGTGATCTTCAGCCACATGCGGTCACGCACCTCCAGGCCTGACTCTGGTGAGGCCATGGCTTTGACAATGGTGGCCATGTCGCTGTGGATGGACAGGTGAAAGTCATCGAGGCCTGCGGTGCGGACGAAGGGAAGGGAGGCAGAGATGAGGGGACAGAAAAGACAAAAGGGCTACATGGCAGCACCACACACAGGAGGAATGGGTCAAGGAACAATACATCGCAGGCAGCCTTGGGGCTGCCTACCCCTTCCAGCCTTCTGATGTTATCCTGCCCACGCCAACCATTTTGCCTTGTGCAAAACCCTGGCTCGAGTCTCCTTCCTTCCAACCAGTCCCTGCCAACTGAGCTCACGCAGCCCAGCAAGGGAATTCTCTGCTCCTCACAAACTTACAACACACTCCTGGCTTTTTGCCATGGCTGAGCTCTCTCGACCCTTGCTTCAGGGCTCCATGTACCAGAATCACCCCAAACCTTCAGAAACCAACCAAAAGAGCCCCGTGCTCAGCAGGACCCTACACCACCGCAAGGCTCCTTGCTCCCAGCTGCCTCCATGCTGCCCTACCTGCTGCTGGGAGGGCAATCGCTCCAGGGACAAGTTGACTCCCTCTGGCCCTGCACTCTCGGCAGGTAACCCCTAACTGCTCTGAGCCTGCCACAGCACCACGATTGCACCCAGGCTTTTCTACTTTCCTTGCACAGAGGAGTTGAAAAAGGCAGCACTAATTCACACAGCCAGAAATCCCATTGAACCAAGCACCTGCCTGGTGAGAGCTGCCTCCCTCTCAGTCCCCTGTCAGGGCAGACCCTGCCCATCCCAACTGTCCCCAGTTTGATGTATTGCTCCCTTTCCAGCACAGTGAAGGCGAGGAAGCCGTGCAGCGGGTGGAGCACGGAGGCACAAGGACTTACGTTCGGTCTCTGGGATGGAGCTGGTGATGGAGGAGCTGGTGGAAGTGATTGTGCTCATGGATGGACTCATACCGTACGCTGGGTAGGTGCCAGTCATCGCTGCCGTGTGAGACACCCAGGCTGCTGGGTCGATGGGCCGGATGGGCTCACCTGCAGTGAAGAAAGAGCCAGTCAGTAGCTATAAGAAATTATGCCCTCGTCAAATCAACCCCTGGGGAGGGACAGGGACTCAGTGCAGCCTATTCCATCCCCAGCATCTGCCGGGACTCACCCGGATCGGAGCATGGAGAGTCTGGCCCAGCCCAGATCCGCTGGGGAGCAACTGGGAGAGAAAGAAGAGAGGGAGGGTCAGCAGGAGAGGTGCAGAGGGAGAGATCCCCCTATAGCTCAAGAGGGGGTTTCTCTTTCCTCTGGCGCCCTGAGCAAGTGACCTCCCTGCCCCAGTGAAACGCGTCCCCAGCGTGATGTGGGAAGGAGGGCTGGGCTTATGGGCATTTTGGCCTGGGAATAGGACATAGCAGCCTCCAAACTAGGAGAGCTGAAACCCCATCAAATCCCAATTCAGTGCCACATGGAATCACACAGACAGGGGAGGAACAAGACAACAACTAAGTAAGTGCTTAAGGCAGGGCTCTCACATGAGCTGGGCACCAGCGTTAAGGGTGGGTCAGCTATCCACTTACTCCTGGGTAACGAGAAGCAGCCCCGGGGGCTGGGGTCCCAGCACTTGGCCACCGTCAGGGTGATGGGCCTGCAACAAAAAGGTGAGAGTCAGAACAAGAGCCCAGTGGCACAAACCCCTGTCTGATAGATGCTGGTGCTCTCCTGCGAGACAGGGGAAAGCAGCCTGCAAAGTGCCTTGTGTCCGCTCCAGCTATGGGTTTCCTTAGTGGCATGGACAAAATGATGTGACCCCACTGAGGGTTGCTGACGACACAGCATCCTCACAAAAAGAGGGCACAGACCCCAGTTCACCACCATTATGTTGACTGCAATTCTCGCTTTGGGCATGAAAACCCAGGAATCAAAGCAACACCAAAAACCTAAGTTCTGAGCTCCTGCAGAGCCACCGGCAGAGGTGGCTGGAAGACACAACCTGCACACCCCAAGCACACACTGCAAAGAGGAGAGGCAAAGAAGAACCCAAGCACTTACCCCGGCTTGTGTACAATCTCCCTCAGCACCCGCACGGCATCATCGTTGCTCATGTTCTCAAAGTTGATGTCATTTACCTGCAAACAACGCAAAGAGGTGAGCCCTGGAGATGTGACCAGAAGCTGAGCTCCCCACTCAGCTCAGCAATGACTCAGCTCCCTCTTCCAAGCCCAGCTTCCTGGGTTTAGCCTCCCAAAGTGCACAGGGAGGCTTCTGGGTCTTTTCTTACTGCTCTCCCAGGCCCAAAGATGGAGCTATGTGGGCGTGAAGTACCTGCAAGAGCATGTCTCCTGGCTCAATTCTGCCATCAGCTGCCACAGCGCCGCCCTTCATGATAGAGCCAATGTAAATGCCTCCATCCCCACGCTCATTGCTCTGTCCCACAATGGAAATGCCCAGGAAGTTGTATTTCTCTGCAGGGATGGAAAGAGAAAGAAGACATCATAAAACAGCAGGCAAAAGCAGCTCTAACTTCAGACAAACCATGTGCTAGTGATGGTCACTTGCACCCCTGTCCCAGAGAGATATCTTAGCACACAGAGGAACTCTTGAAAGAGACCAGTGCTTCAAGACAAGCCACTTTCCTACAGAATCCATCTCCTCACACCTCCCTGTATGTGTTTGCCCTCTCCCCAGTTCTCCCAATCCACCCAATCTCACTCTGGAAGGGTTCCATGCACACCTCCTACTCACCCATGTTCAGTGTGACTGTGATGATGTTCAGGGACATGGTGGAGTCTGTGATGCTGCTGAAGGACGATGACTGCAACAGAAATGAAACGTGAGATGTCTTCCTGTACCTCAGCAACGTTCCCAGCCCCAGTTCTCTGCCACTCCCTGTGGCACAGTCACCACCCACAACTCCAGCCTTATGCTGGCAGCTTTGCAGAGCCAGAAGGCATCTGCCAGTCTTTACAACCCCTCCACAGCCAGGACAAGGTCCGCAGTTCCAGCTCTTGAGGCTACATTGGCTTGGGAAGGGTTTACAACACTTCATGTAGTCTCAGCACTTGGATACCACCCGTTCGCTGCTGTGTGCCCATGAGCAAACACAGCCAAATCTCTGATCAGCCCTGGAGCACCGAGTGGAGACATCCACCAGGCAGCCCACTCTGCTCTGCATTGCCCTCCCCACGACACCCAGCCCCTGGGTACCCGCTCAATGCGTGGAGCCTTCTGTTTCCGCCGGCGTCGCTTGTGCCTCCTCATTAGGCGGGAAGCACTGCTTTGCTCTGTCGAACTGCTAAACCTAGAGGTAAAGTGAGAGTCAGCTCTTCTATTGCCAGGGTGGTGGCTCTGGCAGCAAAAGAGCCGCAGAAATCACACAGGGAATGTAGGATTGCAGGGGTAGAGGGGCAGAACATGTGCATAGGGGACGACAATAGCACAAGGGGCTGCTGAGACTTGAGACAGACCAAGGACCCTGGAGCCCAGGATTACTGTGCCTTGCAAAGGCATCTCTCTGCACTGGGAGGCAGGGGGAAGCTCGTGTTCCTCCAGGACCCAAACTCTCCTACCTGCTGGTGGAGTCATCTTCATCTGAATCAAAGAAGCTGGTGGTCTCCAGCTCACTGCTCATGAGTGTGGAGGAGCTCTCGTACCCGCCCAGGTCTCGGCGCCGCTCTCCCTTCACTGTCCCGTTCACCCTGGGTGCTGTGAAAAGACAAGGCTCAGTGTGCTTCAGACAGGCCACATGGAAACAACTCCTTCCCCTACGCAGAGCTCCTAACAACCTTCCCAGAATGAAACTGGCCATCGGGCAACTCCACCTAGTGCCAGTGGGCTCTGAGTCCACCCTGGGATCAGATCTATCTTCTGTGGGATACCTCTTCCATCACTACAGGAAGGGGAAGAGGCTGATGGGCTGCTAGGAACAACGCTGCTAAAGTCGTGGAAGATCTGCAGCTGGTTCCTGGGCAGAGCAAGGAGCAGCACAGAGTGGTGAGGCTACAGCATGCTCTGCTGCTTAACTAAGAAGGCCTGAAGCACTGCTGCCTCCTGCTCTTGAGGCTTCTACAGGAGACATCTCCTTTGCCCCCAAAGGTCTCAAGACCAAATTCTGATGCAACACAGGTCTTAGCTCTTGCCTCCAATGTGAGGCTGCGGCCCCAGGTCCCTGAACAGCCCTTCTAAGCTGGGAAGGTTCTGCAGAGCAGAGAGAGCTGCCCGATGTCGAGCTGGTGCCCCACACAGTGCCCCAGCCGTGCCCTGCAGAGCTCTTGCCATGTTCCCAACACTCACCATGCTCAGGCCCATCTTTCCGACGAGGTCGTTCCCTTTGCGACGACACCACTGAGTCTGTCTCTGTCTCGTTGTCCAAGTTTTCCCGACTCCCCCCAGTGTTAGGGCTGTGATGAGATACAAGGAACAAATACGTCCAACAGGGAACAACTTCAGTAGTTTCTCTCTACCTCTGTGCAGGCCAGCACGAGCCTCCAGCCATCAGCTGTCTCCTTCTTGAGAGACAGGAGCAGGGGCGGTGGGGAACAACCACAGCACATCCGTGAGTGCAGGGCAAGGGACTGGGGGAGGCTGTGCCAGCTCTTTGTCAACTTCACTGCACTATTTTCAGCATGCCCTTGCTTGTTGAACAATGCAGCTCCACTTCGAATCTGTTCCCAGCCCCATTCTCCTCCTCTCTGGCTTGCTGTGATCCCTGCCAATTTGGGTAGGAGTGTCCCAGCCCCTGGTCTGAATTTACAGCAAAGTCACTGTGGATTCCTGGGAAACCAGGATAGGTGTCCAGGTAACTTACTGGAAAGAGGGGGGCCTGGAGTCTCCAATTCCTCCCGTGCGCTCCATGGAGGGCGGCAGCTCTGTCTGGTTGTCAGCACAGACCGAGCCAGCGTCTGAATGGGAACCCTCTGCAGACACCAGCTGGAGGGACAAGAGATGGAGAATTAAATGGCTGAGACACAGGAAAACATTTATGAGAGTGGCCAGACGAGCTGGCCTAAAGCCTGCCTGGCCCAGGATCTCATCTCTGATGGTGGACAAGAGCAGATGCCCAGGAGCAGGCATGGAGCAGGCCAAGCATGGAGCGACATCCTCCCCCCAATGCCTTCCCAGTCGCTGGCTCTTTGTGGCTCAGGAATTCCTGACCCAGCAGTGGGTGGCTGAGAGCCCTGCGTGGAGACTCCGACATCCTCTGCACACCCCCGCTGCACCATTTTTACACTCTGGTAACCTTTAGCACATGTCCTGTGGCAAGGAGTGGCTTCCCCTGGTTCTTACATGGCAAGAGGCAGCTATCGCTCATTCCTTTTCTCAATTTTACCAACATCTATGCTTCTGCCTTCGAGCTGTGAGACCCAGCAGGACTTTCATCTTCCCAGCCCACGATGAGAGCTGGGGGTAACAGATCTCAGGGCTGAGGCTGGCTCTGAAATAGACCCCAAAACACACCTTTTTTCTCGTTTCCACAGGTATTTTGCAAACTTTCAGCTTGTGCCCAGCTAACATAGCCTCCAGCTAACCTCTGGAAAGCTCAGCAGTTTCCCCAGTGCATACATTCAATAAAAGGTCAAACCTTGGGAACTACATCAGCCGTGCTTTGGGGCAGCCCAGGCACACCTACATCTGTGCCTCTGCTTCAAAATAAACCACCAATATTAGGGCTCAGGGAACGAAGAGGAGGTTCTTCTGGGAGTGACAGACTCGGCAGTGGGATGAAACAGGAGACAGCTCAAAGGAGCTCAATGGAAATTGGTTTCCCCAACATCACTCCCTATCCAGGTTTGCACTCTCTCCAGTTTAAAGCAACATTGAGCAGTGCCGGGCAGGAAAGCAGCAAAAAGCCTTTTGCTTTTGAGAGACATTTGGGGAGCCCCAGAGTAGAGCTGACATAGCCCAGAAAGGACCCTCCCCTTGGCCAGGGAGCGAGTCCCCAGAGACAGGCTGGAGCTGGTGAGCCAGGGAAGAGCAAGTTCCCTCTTTACGGACCTTCCAATGTGCTCTCCACATCTGTCCCCTGCATGGCAGGGACAAGCAGGGGGGTCGGCTCTGTCCCAGTGCCAGAGAGGTCTGATCTAACAGAGGTCCCACTGCAGGCCAGGACAAAAGGACCAGGGAATATGTGCTGGAAAGGAGCTGACAGCTGCTGCCCAAGCTGTAACACCCGGTGTAAATGCAGATGCGGCTCTGGTGAGGGGACCACACGTGCAATGTGGAGGCAGGAGCAAATGTCAACCTGGGTGCTGGAGGCACAGCTTATGCACACAGGTCCTGAGCACTTTCCAGCATCATTAATGAAACACAGAGCTGTGCCTTGCTCACCTCAGAGAACTGGGGAAACCATGGTAAAGGGGGAGATGGACCACACAGATCATTGTCAGGGCAGAGGGAGAGGGGTCTGCTGCCAGGGAGGCACTGAGAACAGGGATGCAGCCAGGGCAAGGAAGACAAAGCAGCCCCAAGAAAGCCACAGCCAAGGCAGCAGACAGGGCAGAGAGCACCCCAGGGTGCCAGAAGCTGCAGAGCCCGTCCCACAAGCCCCAGGACAAGCCCAGTGGCTCCTGCTCTCACTGTCTAACCAGCTCTTGCTTCCCTCCCTCCAGCAAGCCCCAGGCACCCAGGCTTTGCTCCCAGCACCCTCCTGGTGATTTGTCTTCCCAGGACACATCCCACTCCCCGAGGGCCACATCCTCGCTCTGGCAGCCACTGCCTGGGAGCACAAGGAAGAAGAGATGCTGGAAGGGGCCAGCATTGCCTGGCAATAAGTCATATAATGCTCTGCACTTGGTGATCTCAAGGCAAGACCGGGCAAATGGATCTGGACAGAGGGAATTAGCTGGAGGCAGCTGTCGAACAGCAGTGAGGAAGAAAGGAGAGGAGATGTTCCCAAGCAGGGGGACCGATGCTGCCTTCCTTTAACACTCCAGGGGCTGTGACTTCCTCCAGGGAAGGTTTTGATAATCACCCTGCACTTTTCCTGCCTCTTGCACTGTCAGGAAATATTCGCTTGGATCCAAGCCCCCAAATCTTTCCCTCTAGCTAAAATTAGCACCAAGTTCCTAAAATAGCCTCATCCCAGCCTGTCTGGCAGAAGCAGCAGAGTGAGCGCTTCCCCACCAGCCCCCAAACCAGCTACAGACAAGGAAACTCTCAGCAGGGATAGAAAGAGGGGTCATCAGCCATGCAGGAAGGTCTCTGAGACTGCGCAAGAGCGGGCAGCGGTGCTGACTCCAGGTACATCTGCCCCACGAGGAGCCAGCATGGCAGAGCGGCACCACGGTGCCCTGGTCTGATGGGATGGAGCCGCACGGGATCCACGCCACTCACACCGAGCAACCAGAGAGCCCCTGCGAGGAAAACCAGCGGCTGCGTGGATGCACGGAGCACAGGGAAAAGCACGCGAGGTTAAAAAAAAGGGTAATAATATTTTAAAAAGTAATGGAAAGGGCTCAGAGCCTGTGGGACTCCCCATAGAGCTGGAAAGGGAAGGGGTGGGGAGATGTTTGGGGATGGTGGCGGAGAGCTGGCCAGACTGTTTCGGAAGGGCTAACCACTAGAGGGAGGGCGACAGGCCCAGGCCTGCAGCTCTTTGTGTGAGAGCCCACCACATCCTCTCCTCTCCCCTCAGTGTGGGGTACAGGCAGGACACCCATCCTGCACGCTGCTCCCCTGGCCAGCACCCCAGCGGGAGGCAGTGTGGCAGCAGGGTGCCCCCTCTGCCGAAACACAGTCACTTTGTGCCCCTCCCCGAGCCAAGGCCTGGCTGTTTGGTGCAGGGATGGCATTAGGTCTGATCCAGCCTGATTTGCTGAGGATTTTCACTGTTTAGGGGCTATCTGGTAGCCTCTGGCAAAAGGCACTGGGGTCCTTGTTCTGCTGGTGGTGTAGATCCACGCACCCTCATCAGCACAAATGGCAGCTCAGCAGACAGGGAAAGGGATGACGGGCTATGGGGACTGAATACCCTCTCCCCCCACCAAAAAAACCCCACGAAGGTCCCCTTGAGGGTGGAGGGAGGCATGCGGGAGGGGACAGAGCACGTGCATGGCATGGCACGGAGGGAGAAGCTTGTCCTGCAGCTGCCCAGGCAGTACCTTTAGTCTCCAGGGCAGTCAAATCCAGTCCGCTTCACCAGCACTAAAGTCACTTAAGCCCTTTGCGCCAGTCACCGGAGCAGGACTTTCCTTGGAAAGCTGACCCTGCCGTAGGGGCACATGGGTTACGCTGCAGACAGGCTGGGACCGTCACCTCTGCCAGGCATTGGTGACCATGAGCTCTCCACAGAGACATCCCGCATCTTCCCAGGCAGGGGGACCCTGCACCACGCAGCCCCCTCTGGGGCTGAGGGACCAGAGCGTGGTAAAATCCAGCTCATCAGCTTCGTTAGCGGTCAGCACACCAACGGGACGGAGCGGTCCCCGTGCCTTGCTCGGCACTATGCAATTAAACAGTGGTTTTCAGAGAGGAGAAACAGGCAGCAAGAGACCGAAGCGAGGGGCTTGCTTACCCACGACACCACCCGGCCATTGAAGCAGGGAAGCTTGGCATTGTCGTCCGAAATCTCTTCTTTCACCACCCTGTGGAGGGGAGAGGAGGCAGTCAGAGCTGGGGCCACGATTTTAGGGGAAAAGGAGACTTCCCCAGCTGGTGTTTGCACACAAAACCAGACAGCCCAGGCCCAGGCTTGGGGATGGGGATGGGGCAGGGAAAGGACCAGCAGCTCCCTCCTGCTGGTCCTTTCCAGGTTCCTATGCCCACAGGCACGACTGGGCCGGCGAGGAGAAGACAAGAGCAGGACAGGCTCCTCTGGGTGCATCCGGCTGTTTTATCCCCGATTCACATCTTAATCAGCCAAAAAAAACCCTCAGATGCATATTTCCACCAGTTCACTTATTTCTAAAGAAATACATAATTTAAACCTCTTTATAACGATCTGAAAGAATCACAGCTTATGCCAGAGATTTCTAGCAGATGAAAGCGAAACACATCAAACACGCTGCCTCACAAATGTTACTGCTGCTTTTTAATTATGTACATCATATTTCAACATCACTTCAAGCTTTATAGTTGTGCCACAATGTCATGTTCCTGCATTACACAAACAGCTACATTATTATCAGTCCTCACAGCGGAGGGAGAACTGATAATTATTTTCCCCAACAGTAAAAACATCAGTTTTCTCTGGAGATAAAATTTCTTCTTTGTTTTAAATATCACCAGGCACCCAAATACTTTTTCCACGGTGGGTCTGCAATCAAGACAACTTGTCAACCCAACAGGTCCAATTAACACCATCTTTGAGAAATCAGATTGAATGGCAAAATAGGCTTTAACAAGCTCAATTTATTTTCCACTCAATGACAACATTTTAAGCACTCTTATTTAATATAAAGACATCTTACAAGTAGTTTGTGATATTAATTTCCCCTTCCAAGCTATATCTAAGGTACTCTGATAAATATTGTGCTTAACAATGCGGTAACTAACCAGTGAATAAATTGTGCTTGGGGGAAAAGGAATACAACAGAAAAAGAAAAAAAGTGAAACCAAGAGAAATTATGTATTAAAAAGAAGCAGCTTAGAAGTAACTATAGTGTGCACAGAGGTGGGATCCCATCAGCAGCTCTGAGGGGTCCCCAAGCCAGTCCCCAACTCACGGAGATGCAAGCGTGGGCCGTGGAGCCGTGACCCATTGCCCAGCAGTCCGGGCACTGCCGCCGAGTCACAGCATGCCGGGGCTCGGAGAAACAGCTACGCACTGGAAATCAGATGCTGAGGCTCTCCAATGCTCACAGGGCATCAGCAAAAGGCAAATGAACAGTGTTGGAAGACCAAAACCCGGGGAGCAGGCTCGCTCCACCCGGCCAGCCACACTGGTTGCTCCGGCGTCACTCACGCACGCTCAGCACAGGGCTGGCTGTCCCCCCAGGTGAAGGCAGCAGCCACAGTCATGTCTGTGCTCACGATCCCTGCCCAAACTGGGGAGCCAGCAAAGGGACTGGACAAACGCTACCCACCCCCAGAAGGCACAGATGCGGAGGTCACGGTTTGAGCAGTCTAATCCACTCACACGACGTGTGTTAATTCCTCTTGCACAGATGGAGAAGCAGGAAAAGAAGCAGGAAAGGAGCAGCAACGATGGATTAAAACGTTGCTAGCTTCATGCTTCTTCAGTGTGCCCTGTGCCAGCCCGTGCCCAAAGCCCCTGCAGCCCAGGGTGTGCATCAAACCCAGGCAGTGTTCCCCAGGACCATCCACTTCGACGATGGCCAAAGGCAGGCAAGTCGTTGTCTCCACACACACACACACGCACACACACATCCTGGCCTGGCTGCACTGCATCCATTCATGCTGTCGCCAGCAGCCTGGATTTCATCCAATTCCTAGAGAGAATTTCAGGCAGAGCCAATTTTCGGTGCTGCCTGCTCGGGGACAGAGCCCTGCCTGTGGCTGAAGGGACAGGGTGATATATCTGCAGGGTCAAGCCGGCCAACCACTCAGCACAAATGAACAACTCCACTTTCAGTGGTGACATGAAAAACCAACCCCCAGGACCCCCACCCACCCTCTGCTGCAATGTCCGATAGAGAACAAGCTCCCTCTGTCCCCCTACAACCCCACTGCTGCCCCAGACATCCCAGGGGTCAGCTCCACCCTGCTGCAGTTTTCTTTCTCCTTTCCCAGCCACTACATTATTTATCACTATTTATCAGCCAGATGCCAGAGCACAGTGGATCGTATATTTAGACTCTACAGAGCAAAAACTGATAGTGCTGGAGTCGGGCACATGCCAAGCAGGAATATCTCCGCAGCCTTGCTCACGTCTTTCGCCCCTCGCAACGTCCCAGCTATTCGTGCCCCGCATTCCTCTCTGGCCTCAGCCCTGAGCTGTAGCCGTCCTCCCCCCACCTCTCACCACTCTCCAAGTCACATTTCTCACACCAAGGAGACCGCAGGTTCACATCAGAAGCCACCAAGCGAGCAGCCTCTGGGGGAGCTGTGCGCGGTGCCACGTTTCTCCTCTGCGCTTGCATGAGGAGGCGGCCATGAGATGGAAACTGTCCCAGGGATGTGCTGGGAGGGAAACCCGTCCCATGGATGTACTGGGAAGAGCCCTCAGCTGATAGGTCTGAGCCTGGGAATCTCGAAAGAGCAGACCCAGAAGGAGCTCAGGCTCCCTCGGTTCTCTAAAAGCCTTTTGTTTTGGCAGGAGCCACCGCAGCCCAGGGAAAACATCTGCCCAAGGCTGATTTCAAAGGGACTGTTTTGCGTTTACCGTCCATCAGGGCAGCCCGGTTTCAGATTTTCAGTTTAAAATCCTGCCGGGGGCTGGGCACAACGCAGCCAAGAACAGCGGCCAGGAAAAACCCCTTCTATGGAGAGGCAGCCCGAGCCTTGCCCAGGCCAGGGTGGGCGCAGCCCTCTCGGTGCCGCAGCCCCTGTCCCGTCCCCGGG